AAGGAAATCTCAGCGACTGCGGATTTCCCTATTGATATGACCATCATCTGCTGTCATAGCCGTTGGTATTACACAAATATCTTTTGAAGCACCTTTGAAGACTTTTTCTGGAATGCACTTTGTCTGGTTCTTCCCCTCCGACTGTCATGGGTTGAGAACTCCTGACAACATTACTCTCGGGATCAATTAAACACAAGCCTCTCCACCATGACAAAGTGACAATCCCCGGAAAGGTATGATTATAGTTGTTATAATAACAGACATGCATTTTCAGATCCATGAGGAAAGAAGTCACAGGTGTCAATGGATAGATCCTGGGATTTGCTGGCCATATAAATAAATGATTCTCATATTTAAATCAAAACTATATACTCCTAGTTTCAGAGATAGTAGGAACTGCAGATGCTGGAGAATCTGAGATAACAAGGCGTAGAGCTGGATGAACACAGCAGGCCAAGCAGCATCAGAAGAGCAGGAAAGCTGATGTTTCGGGCCTAGACCCTTGTTCGCCTTCACAGTGGGGTTAAAATTGTTTCAGAGATAGTAGGAACTGCAGATGCTGGAGGCCTTCGCAGTGGGGTTAAAAAGAAGGGTCTATGCCCGAAACGTCAGCTTTCCTGCTTCTCTGATGCTGCTTGGCCTGCTGTGTTCATCCAGCTCTGCACCTTCTTATCTCTATATACTCCTAGTACCTAGTTGCAGAGAGACAGATCTAAAGCATTTCCTCATAATGTAAACACCTAAGCCACAAATTTATGCTTGTCACTTTTTGAACTATTGATATTGGAAAGCATTGATATCCTTTTGGGAGATAGATGTGCAAAGTTTTATGCATTCATCCAAATTTAGCCTCACCTTTGATTTATATAAATGAGAAGTAAATTACTTCAAATTAATACCAAATTCTCCAAGTACTACTACTAAATTAGAACTTCCTTGCAGAAGATATGCAAATATTCTGGATGCAGCATATCCATCATTTCTTCACAGTGGTTAATGAGGCTTGTAGCGATTAATCATCCCATCAATAACTGAAACACTGAGCTTACTTTCAGACGTTGCACTGAACAAGGAAAGATTGATAAAAAATGATTCATCCTCTTCATAACTAATCTTAAATTGTATTTTTAATGGCAGTATCTAAAACATTGTTCTTCAAATGTTTACAGCTACGGGGACAAGTATGCAGAGGAGGAAGTGGAGAAGGTTGAGTGGGAAACATCCCAGCAGGGCAGACCCCTCTCCTTTGAAAGTACCCAACAATTATATTTTTCTTTCAGGGAGTTGACATCAGAATGGAGTTGGATTCCCCACCTCCAGAAGAAAGCCCAAGATTGCAACAAAGATGGATGGATGGCAAGTTAGAACATTCTACATCAGGTTAGTTTTTTTTATGATGAATGTCAGGCTCTCAAATCCTCACTTCTGTCCTCCTCCATGCTTCCTATGTATATTCCCTATCTTGTTATGGACCAGACCAGACTCCCTCAATATATTTTAAGAAGGTAGGTTAGATCCTAACTTTTCTTATTTTAAAAGGTAAACGTAAATTGTTGTGTTCCAGATGCAATGTGACTGATAAAACTGCTCGACATTAATTTATTTAAACATTTAAAATAAAAACATAAAAAAGAGGAATTTAGAATAACTTAACTATTGGAAAACTTAACCAAATAGTAGATACAGTATCTATTACTAATTAACCATTCCAATATAGTAACATCCTATTAACACAACCCTAGGTAATAAGGCAAATTCAGACACAGATCCTCACATGAGTTCTCCAATCCAGGAGGGAAAAGCATCGAGAGAGATTTCAGAGGAAGTAGCAGCTAGGAGACATTCACTGAAGCTTCCAACTCTTTTGAGATCCCAAAGGCATCTGCTTAAAAATAAATCTAAAAACTAAAAAAGGACTAGAAAGCCCAGTCTGAGAGAACTGGCCATACCAGGTTGCTTCTGTTGTTCCAACTTTAAAAAAAACGCTAAGGTCTTGCAAATTGTTTACTTTCGTACAGACAGCTCCGCACCTGGGCCTTACAACCTCTCTTCAAACCAAAAACCAGGACAAAATAACCTCTTAAAGTGACAGCGTTGTCATAATCCAATAACCCACCCTCTACAGGCAACACTCAGGATGTTTGAAAGAGGCATTCAGAACAAATGAACTTCTAACAAACTAATTTTAAAACGCTCGATACTGAAAAAAAATAAAATGCAAAAACATTCCTCAAACATTAACTAATTGTGAAACAAATAAACATCTAATTTACTAAATACAATAAAAACAGATAATCTTTTAATAACATCTTAAAATTGCCAATCTAAATGTCTTAATTGTACCATTCTAATATAAGTGGTTCTAGAATTAAGCATCCATAATGGCCACAGATGTAAGGAGAAACCATTGTCTTATTTAAATTGCTGAATGAAAAAAAAAATTGCCAGGGAGTGGCATCAAACTATCAACATTCACAATGCTTTGGGAGGCCCTGCAATTTCGATAGGCAGTACTACTGCCTTCCCAATATTTTCAGGCTTCCTAACTGTGAAGATGAGTATCTGCTCGCTGCTTACCTTTCCATAAATATTGAGGCTAAAACGTTTGTAATAAAATGGTGCACAGATCTATTTCTGTGCCAAGTGTTTCAAACCATCAAACTACTTATTAGAGACCGATTGACCTATTCTGCATTGGTAGCACCTATCTTTTTATTATTAGCACAATGAACAATGGCCACAGAAGAGTTGCAATGATGATTCCTCAATTATCAATAGATTTAAATCAGTTCACACAAGTGATTTCATTCCATGGGAGAAGAATGAACAAGGTTTCCCTTATTGTCACTAAAAATGTTGGAAGGAACAAATGAATCATCAAGAACCTGAAAATAAAACATGGAAACAATATTCCCAAGACTTAAGGGAAATTGGTGCTTAAGTGAATCGTTTCCCTTGTGAAGTGGTGAATGTATAGGATACAATCCCAACAGAAGTGCTAATACTAAACCACCTGAAAAAAATACCTGAATAATTATGTGGCTAAAAACCAGACTGCAGATCAAGAGCCTAAGTACAAATCTAAGTGACCATACTCTGGAAAATTATATTTATCATGCTGCTAGAATGTGGAAATGTAACCTGAAAAATACAATCATCACTGTCAAGTAGTATGAACCACACAGTCAGACTGACATAAACATTTATACTTGTGGAATTATCATTGCAGACAAAGGGAAAAAGTTCAGAGTTTTGCGCTCCTTAATGTTATAGCTGTGAATGAAGCAAGAACCTGCATTTATATAGCACCGTTTGTGACCCAATTTGTCCCAAAACACCTTACAGCCAACAAGACACTTCTGAAGCATATAAACAGATAATCTATAATAACTATACCATCAGTTTTATTAATGTTGGATTGAAAACTACATATTCACCAGGACACGAAGGAGAGTGCCTTGCTCTTCTTCACTGAATAATGGCTATCTATTTCTCACTAAAGCAAATTTATGATATTTGAAGATGCATCTTGATAAATAGAAAATGTTGACCGACCGATTGTTTCTTTAGTTAAATCCCCATCTACCTCAGAAAAATAACAGTTTTCTTGGAAACATGATAGATTGGCTTCTGATAAAGGTTTATCATTCATTTTGGAGATGGGAGCTATGTGGGTAAAGGGTTTTATAGTCCAAAACCAGCAAAGAAGTTTGTTTCCTTCAGCCAATCATTGGACTCAAGATGTCGCATTAGGACCCATGGACATTCTGATGCACTCCATAGGAATTGCCCAGAAAATTAGAACTCCCAATAGGCAATTCCCCTACTCTCTTGGACCTTCTGAAAAAGTCTTTGACTCTGACTTAGAATTGAAGACTTTGGACAGTTCTGAAATGCTCCACAGGAAATGTGTGAAAAAAAAAATGCTACTCTGACCCCTAGGTAACTATACAATTGATCTGACCTGCTTCTTCTGGATGTCCCAGTTACCATTCCTGACCAACCTCCAACCAAGTAGCTCCCCTATGCTTCAACTCCCAGTCACCCAACCTGACTAGTCTCTGACACACAATTCCACATATTTGGTCCCCCTTCAATTTCCTCACAATCCAACTTGACAAAATCTCACCATCCAACAAACACCATCCTCCACCCTACTTGACTACTATTTAGTCCACAATTTCCCCTACTGATCTCCCCAACCCAACCTGAACAGTCCCCATTACCACACTATCCCAACCTTTATTTGGAGGAACAGTCATATTGAATCTAAAACGTTAACTCGGTTTTTCTCTTTGCACAGTTGTTGTCAGACTGTCTGAGTTTCTCCAGCACTTTCAGTTTTTATTTCAGTTCTCCAGTATCTGCAGCACTTTGCTTTTATTTGAGTTGGTACAGATGACTGTGGTTAATATATTGGTATTGTTTGAGGATTGGTTAATGGAAGGAAAATAGAGTGCAGGAATCAACATTTCATTATTGGAATGAGAGGGCTGTAACTGGTCGAGTGCCTTAGTTATTCACAATTTACATTTGTGACTTAGATTAGGGAACCAAGTGAGATATATCAAATTTTGTTGACAGTACAAAGTGAGGTATGTTTGTGATCAAGAAGGTGTTACAGTAAAAGAACAAGAATAGCAGAGAGGAGACTATGCAAGATGATTTTGCATCATTCTTGCCAAAGGCTGAGAAAGATTATGCACAGTAAAGATGGGAAAACCTACATAATCACAGAGCATGTCATTTATGTTTCATATGTCAGCCATTTCAGTATTATGGCAGAGACAGAAACCCAGGAAAAAAAAGACTCAAACATAGTTTTGTAAAAGGCAGACATGGATTTCTAAGATATCAACATGTTCATGGTTAGTTAAAGCAACACAATTGGGATAAACTATCACAAGGATTTTGCTTTCCTCTGTCCTCAATTTATGTTGTTGATTTTTTTGCTATCCATTTATTTATTCATTGGGATATTCATTGGGAATGAAACTTACCAACAAGGTCCCATTCTCCATTTGGTAAATAAGTAGAAATATCAGCTTCCAACATCTGCAGGTCCACTAACCAACCATCATGCGTCCATGAGCCAAATTTTAAATCGCACCTTTGGACGTCAAAGGGGAACCAACGGACATCAATGTAGCATGTACTCTTCAGAATACCTACATTTTTCAAAGACATCAAAATTATTTCAACAGAAACTTAAAATGTTCTGTCACTATCACCTTTTTAAATCTCTGCAGTAATTCAAAGGCCTTTTTGAAACCTTTCTCCTTTGATTGTCTTTATACTCACCATTCTGAGTTAGCTAGCACAACAGCTTGCTGTTCAGTTAATTCTGAATGTCTTTGGGAGACTTTATTGTGTAGGAGGCACAAGGAGTCGTTTTGAAGACTGACTTTGAAAGAATAGCATGAAGTCAATCTTTGTGCAAACCACAGACTTTGTGATGTATTGCAATTGCCAATACTTGTTTCAGGCATTGACTGGAAAATCTAATCTGCAAAAGTTCAAAACTCCTATGGTTGCAGCTGCATGTTTATCATGACAATGAAGGAAATACAAAGTTGAATTGAGCTGAACCAGTATGTTTTTATTTTGTTAAAGGAGACAAGTACATTTAAATTTGAAGTGCCCAGCAATGCATTAATCTGAAGTACCCAAAGGCTGGTCAATTTAAGGTTGAAACTCAATTTAGCACTCAATGATTCGCAAAGAGATAGACGTGTAATTCATTGAAATATTGATATCACAGGTAATAGCCAGATGGGGAACCATCAGTCCATGCCATCTTACACCTGAGACACATTCTAAAATGATGATTAAAAGCCTACAGCTTGTTTGTGTGGGCTAAATTGGCAAACTTCTGTTTTTCCTATTTTGTTACCAGCTGTCTTGTCTAATAACCAAGGTCCAAATGTTGAGAGACTGTAAAGAATGAAACATATTAATAAAAAGTCAAGTAAGGTATATACAAAAAATGGAAGCCCTACTCTAAAATGATTTTCAACTGACTTTGCTGCTGAAAAAATAAACAAAAAATAATTTGGCATTAACAACATGAGAATGAAATAAATGGATGCCTGGGAGCAAATAGTATAACCCTGTATGTTGAATGGCTTAGATGTTTCATAAACCACATCAGCATTTATGGCTGTTCTCTGAACTCAGTGTGAGGTTACCACATGATAACTGCTGTCAGCTATATCTAGTATAGGCACATGTTCCTGAACAGAAACCTGTTTTGTTCCTGTTCTTAGCCATAATAGATAAAAATGATGCAAGTGTTATTCTGCATGCCTACAGTCTAGCTGACAGGGTGAATAATCACAATGTATTTAATTGTATACTACTCAGCAGGTAGTCATCAGAAAAGATATTATTTACTTAAAGCAAAAATGCAAAGAAAGTCCACATTTGGTATGTTGGACATCCTGTTTTTAAGCTTAGTTTCTGTGTCCCTGATAGTGGGATTCTATTCTCTGGGCATGTAGCATTGTGGGAAGATATTGGAATTTCACCATCAAATTGCTGTAAAAGTGCCTTCGCTACATGTGACCATTCATGGTCTGTTCTTAAAATATTTCAGAGCACTGAGAAGGTAATGGTCATGAGGGACTAAAATTATTGTGACAGGGCAATTCACAGCAGATTTCAGTTATTATTCTTATTTCACATGTCATGGTAGAATAGTTTGAAATGTTCAGCTGCAATTATTGCCATAGGCACCTCTTTCTGTGGCACTTCAAAATGACTCTTTGGAAGGCTTTCCTTAAGCACTCCCAAGCAGGGTGCCCCACTTTTAGTCTTCTGCATGTCTCCGCAATTTGCTTCAACTCTAAACCATCAAATGATTTCTGTGGTACTTCAATTATAGCCACTTGCACATTCCCAACTTTTACACTTCACCTCGGGTGGCTGCGTTTTCAGTTACCCAAGTATTAAATTCAAGAATGTTTATGTTCAAACCTCTCTGATTGTCCATCTCACTCCCTACATTTACTATGCATCTTAAAACTTATATTTTTACCTGTCATTTTATTTCCTCATGTTTCTTGCTGTCAATTTTTATTTGATAATTTTGTATGTGATGCAATGCCAACCACTATCAGTTTGATTATCATTGTACAGCCAACAGCATCTCACCACTGCAAAAAAAACAAAATAACTGAGAAGAGAAAAAAGGGCTTTCCACCATGTGGTCTGAACTTCCAATCTTCAGAATTTTGTTTATCTATATCCTTTACCACCCACTGTATATTTTTTAAACTGTTTGTCTTTTGTCAGTCTTATGTGTGTGTGCACACGCATGTGTTTCAATTTTAACATGGTATAGTTGTTGGATGGATTAGAAATTGTTTCTTTTATTATTGCACCTCGAGTATTGTATACAGCTTTGATTTCCTTACTCAAGGAGAGATGTGGTTGTATTGGAGGAAGTTCAGAAGAGGTTTATTAGATTAATCCCAGAGATGAGGGTCTTGCCTTATGATGAGAGATTGAGCAGTTTAGGCCTATTCACTCTGAAGTTTAGAAGAATGAGAGGAGATCTAATTGAGGTATGAGGTGCTGAAGGAGACTGACAAAGTAGACTTAGAAAGGATACTTCCACTTGAGGGGCAATATAGAAATGAGAGGTCATAGTTTTAGGCTAAGGGCTAACAGATTAGAAACTGAGATGAGGAGAAATTACTTCTCTCAAAGGGTTGTGAATCTGTGGAATCACTACTCCAGAGTGTGGTAGATGCTGGGACATTGACTAAACTTAAGAAAGAGACAGACATTTTTAATTAGTTATTGACTAAATTTAAGGAAGAGATAAACATATTTTTAATTAGTTATATGTTGAGATGTTAGGCCAAGATGAGAACAGCATGATCGTATCAAATGGCAGAGCATGCTCGAGGGAATGAATTGCCTACTTCTGTTCCTGGTTCCTATTTTCTTATGTCAAATTTAACTGCCTTACAATAAATAGCATTTTCATTTATTGTTTATGAAAGAACCTGCTTTGGTTTCCTTGCGCACTGGGCAGCGGTCATTTAGGCAAATCAGTCATTTTGTTGATCTCACGGGAATTCTTATACTTTTCACATTTTCTGAAGCATCACACTGATCGCTTCCACTGCTGTAAATATTGATGCAAGGTAACTATTGAGCATCACTGCCATTTCCTTATTTTATTAACAATGTCTTTATTATCAGCTGTCAATTGATCCATATTGCTTCTGACTGCCCTCTCTTATCTGAAATTATTGTAACTCTTTCTCATGTTGGTTTTGAGATCCCTTGCAATTTTCCTTTCTTCTATCTCTGGCCATCTGTTTTACTACCTTTTGCTGTTCTTTGCACCTTTCCTATTTGCCAAGTCCTGTACTTTACTTTCCATATTGTTACGACCAAGTCAGAAGCTATGAAATTACTTCCCCTTCTTTCCACTCATAATCTGGTAACAGCTTGAATTTAAAATGGATGTGATTTTGCCAATTTAAGAACTGAATTTTCTCTGTGAAAAACTTTGCCTCAGAAATAAAGTCAGCCTGGTTCCTTAAGTTAATAAGAGTTAGTTTAGTTTCTAAAAATCCTTCAAAGATACAGGAATTATTAACAGAATATCTATCAACTAGTGCAAATCCAACGTGCACGCGATTCTTCTAAACGTACAAATCAAAGATGATACATCTCTGCAGAATATCAAATCTTGACCAATTAAAATTTAAAGTCAAACTAAAAAATTGTTTGTTTTATGTGCAGATGCTTGTTTATGCTGAAGTACAGCTTTACACAACAGCTGCTGGACAGGGGATTTCTTTCTGGATCTGCGCAGCTGACAGATTTCTCTTGTTCTCTTGGAAATGATTGACTTGGTTCAGAGTTCTTTCTTGCATTAAGAACTCATGGTTTGCAGCAATGAAATCAGAGGATAGAGTGGGAGAGATGTTCCATGCCACCGACCCTGTAGCCAGAACCAAGAAGGAGAAATCCATCTCCCCACCCTCACTGCTCAACAACTATTTACTTTGGGTCTGCCTACTATGCTTTGACAGTTGAATTAATCAAATTTGCTTTGAACGATTTACAAGCTCTTCTTTCTTTAAAAAAAGAATTATGGATGCTGTAAATCAGAAACAAAAACAGAAATTGCTGGAAAAACTCCGCAGGTCTGGCAGCATCTGTGGAGAGAAATCAGAGTTAACGTTTCGGGTCCAGTGACCCTTCTTCAGACTTCAGAGCTTTTCTTTCTGACTATTAGTTCAAATCCAGTAGCTTTACTACATCCAGGGACTGGGTCAGATGTCCTCCCTCCAAAAGGTTTGAAGACGTGGCATCTACATGAAGCAGCTTGTATTTTTCACAAACGTTACATATTTGCTGCTGCAACCACAAGCTTTTGCTTTGAAAAGTGTAATTTCAAAAGTTCAAGATACATATGCCTAATATTACAAATTAGCTTATAGATTTTGAGGCTAGTAATTCTGCAGTGATTAAGTTATCTCCTGTCTCGAAAGCTTGTCCACCATTGGCAGGGTGCAAGTTTGGATTGTGATGAAATACTCATTACATACTGGCATGAGTGCAGCTCTAATGATACTCCAAAACTCTCCACCATCTCAGACCAAGGAAATCCAGCTGACTGAAATCCCATGTAACACCTTTAACATTCATTCCCTTCACCATATATGCACAGTGGAAGCAAAGTATGCAATCTATAAAATGGACTTCAGTAACTCACTAAGCTTTTTTCAACCACATCTTCCATACTCATGACCTCTGCCACTTAAAAGGCCAAATGCAAAAAATACATGGGAATGTCACCACCTGCAACCCTCTTCCTAGATACACACGATGCTGGGTTGGCACTAGATTGTCAAACCTTCACTGTTGCTGGTTCAAAATCTGGAATCAAAATCTTTCCTAACAGCTTTCTGGGTGTACCTAAGTCTAATGATTGCATGGGTTCAAGAAAACAGTTTTGTGTTCAATCTTTGGATAATGTTCCTTTAATGGTTCAACATGCAAATAAACCAAATGCCTGCATGCTTATAGTTTAGCTCAGCTTCTCTGAAATGTAGCACTCAAGGCATAGGCTGTGTCCAGAGATTACTCTGTACTGCATATATACTATAAATAAAATCACCAGAGATCTTGAAGTAAACTGAATCCACATACCTAATTTGTGTTACATTTAGATAACGCAAGATTATTATTACAGGCAGCTTCCCAACTCTTCCCAAGGACAATTCAGAGCGGATAGTAAATGCTTGTCTAACAAATGATACTCACATCCTATGAATTAAATAAGAACTTCATAACAGCATACCTTTCCTCTTAGTTTTATGTTATTTCTCAAGTCTTTGGTAGTCCATGGTTGTATTTTTTGACAAGTGGATTTTTTCTACTTAATAACATAAAATGACCCTGTATCATGTTAGCTTGCTACAAATATATAGATGAGGTCACACCTGGGTCAGAATTTTATGGCTCCTACAGCAGGTGACACTCAGGTTAGGTTAAAATAAAAATGCACTGGTTGATCTTTCCACTGCCTTCCTGCTCATCGCCAACATGTCCACAATTTTATGAAAGATGAACGAGGCTTAGAGAGTTCTGACCACCTTTAGTCCAGTTCATTAACAGAGCTGTGCCCAATCAGATTGGCCAATGGCTCTGAGATCAGACTCTTCCTCAGTCAGGGACAAAGTCCTACGTCAAACTCGTGTTGAATGGCAGTGGAGCAGTTGGCATCAGTGAGGATGCATTACCACCTTGCCATCAGTGTGATTCCTCCCTAAGGAATACTGAATGCAGATCTGGCCTTCTTATCCAGCCAACCCGAACCTCAGTATTGAAGTGTGTTATTGATAGTGACTGTGGGGTCCTGGAGTACATAATCACAGGTGGGATGATGCAAGATGTCTGTCATCTTCAGACAGAAGTCAGGCCAAAGTCTCCTGAGTCTAGCACAAAGACAGCAGTGAGTTGCTGGATGCCATCCGAGCCCTGAGGCTAGAAAATAACAAGTAGCTGCACGCCTTCTGGAGTAGTTGTATTGAGAATACACAACTCAATAAACAAAAGTTCACTCAGCACCTGTTCAGTAACCAAACCTCGGTACCAGCTTTGTGCTTTTGGAAATTGAAGAGATGACTAACTATCTGAAATTGGACGTGTGATCCTGTGACAAGATCTTTGACTGCGAGAATTTGAGGTTACACTCTTACATTCTCAGAATATTGTTCTTCACTTAAAAGGTTGTCAATCTTTGCAATTTTCTAGCCCAGAAAGCTGTTAATGCTTAGTTGTTGATTAAATCAAGACTGAACCCAAAAGCTTTTTGGTACAAAAAAATTAGATTGACATGAGGATAATATGGGAGGGTGCAGCTGTGAGAGAAAAATCAGCCTTGATTTTGTTGAGTGATGCTCCAGATTTGATTGATAATTTGCAGATAGGGCCAGCAGAAAACCTGCTAATTTTACCCTCAGTCCCGTACCTGAAACTCACCTTTTAACTTTTGCCATTCAGTTTCCTGAGAAGTGTAATCTGGACAGGTAGTAGAGGAATACTAAAAGCAAAATAATGATGAAGACATGACACTGCTGCTTGATTCCACACTCACAGCAACTAGCTCAGACACATTGTGTGTATCTTAGAAAACAGATCAGGAGTGGGATCGGTACATGGTAGGACAATGGGTATGAAGATTCTACAGCTGGGACTCGGTGCAAGAATATTGTGAGTGCAAGCTGTCTGGATAGGTCTGTACAGCAACATCTTTAGTTTATTGGAAAGCCTGTAAGAATGCCTGTACTGGTCACCATCAAAGAGAATACCGTCATATGAATTAGAAACTGGGTGCAGGCCACTTCGCCTATCAAGCATGTTCTGTCATTCAATAGATCATGGCTGATCTGATGACTTCCACATTCCCACCTAACCCTTATCACCCTTTTATGTTCTTGCTTATCAAGAATCTCTCTTCCTCTGCCTGAACAATATTCAAAGACTCTGCTTTCATCAAAAATAGTGAACATTGTGCCAATCTGATTCAAAACAAAACTTCTTTTCAGAAAGCGTTGGTGATGGGGGTAGGGAAGACAGTTTCACTAAGACCTTAATCTTACTGAACCAAAGGTTTGTCAACAGCACTCACCTGGTGGGAGGTATTGACTATGTCCAGTGGAATTTACAAGAACGTTGGTGTGAAAAGTTGCATCAAATCTTTCATCAGCACTGTCAAAGAAAGAAACAAAATCATTAAAAAAAGGGATAAATCTATTTACACATTAACATATTAACAATTAAAAAAGAATGCCAGAGAACTCAGCAGGTCTGAAAGCATCTGCAGTGATAAAAACAGAATTAACATTTCAAATAAGGTATGACTCTACTTCAGCACTAGTTCAGTTCAACTCTTTTCCATGTTGTCTCAGACCCAAGCACCAAGGAGGAGGCTCTGCATGGCTCAGGCCATGTGTTGGGTGGTGACCCTCATGACCGACTGCACGTGTTATCTAGCCTGTTCCTCCACTATCCAACACATTCCCAACTCTGGCCAGCCCAGCGTCCTGATCCCTTCCCTCCTCAACCCAATATGCTCGGTTCGCACTAAACAACTGCACCTCCCAGTCACGAACCATTTCAACTCCCCCTCCCATCCTGCAGACAACATGTCCATCTGGGCCTCCTGAAGTGCCACAACGATGTTACCCGAAGGTTGCAGGAACAGCAACTCGTATTCCGCTTGGGAACCCTGCAGCCCAATGGTATCAATGTGGACTTCACAAGCTTCAAAATCTTCCCTCCCCCTACCGCATCCCAAAACCAGCCCAGCTCGTCCCCGCCTCCCTAACCTGTCCTTCCTCCCACCTATCCCCTCCTCCCACCTCAAGCCCCACCCCCATCTCCTACCTACTAACCTCATCCCGCCCCCTTGACCTGTCCGTCCTCCCTGGACTGACCTATCCCCTCCCTACCTCCCCACCTACACTCACCTTTACTGGCTCCAGCCCCGCCTCTTTGACCGGTCTGTCTCCTCTCCACCTATCTTCTCCTCTATCCATCTTCTATCCGCCTCCCCCTCTCTCCCTATTTATTTCAGAACCCCCTTCCCCTCCCCCGTTTCTGAAGAAGGGTCTCGACCCAAAAGTCAGCCTTCCTGCTCCTCTGATGCTGCTTGGCCTGGCCTGCTGTGTTCATCCAGCTCTATACCTTGTTATCTCAGAAACCCTACTGACGTTGTTTTGATATTGAGTCTATGGACCTGACAAATTAGCAGTGGTGGAGGATAATCCATTATTGAGTCTTAATGAGAAGAGACACTTGTCTTAACACAGGATGTAGCTTATTACATGATCACAAATTTGTAATCTACTTTGCTAAATTAAGTGTAATTAGAAAGATGATGTAAGGAGCCAGAGATGACATATCAGTCTCCATTTGTACCTCATGTTTCTTTTTCACCCACAGACTGTGCGATGCTATCTGGTTGAGTGGAGATTAACGTAACTTCAACATTTACTCTTACAAAACCTTTAATTTAAATACGACAAGAACCTTGGTGTTCCCCTACCAGTGACGTGAAGAATTGAAAACTGAATTCTTCACTTGAATCCCTCAGCTATGGCTGCCAAATTAAAAAGTCAAGTGACCCTTTGTGTGAATCATGAGAAAATGTCAAGGATGCTATTAGGCAGTTTGGAATGACTGCAGGAAACAAGTAAGAATTAGATCTGGTTACATCACCACCTTAAACCTAGGATTCTCTCAAGGTGGTGGGGGAGTTGATAATGTTCTCGCAAATTGTTCCAGTGTATTTACAGCACAGAAACAGGCCATTTTGTCCAACAGGTAATTAGATCCTCTCACTCTTTCTCTCAGCCTTCTTCATCTAATCCTATCAGCATATCCTATTCTTTTCTCCATGATGTGATTATCTCGCTTCCACTTAAATGCATTTGTATGAGTTGTTGCATATGGTTCTGCGAGGGTTGATACTGAGGCTTGCCAGAAGCAACACTCATTACGACGACGTATACGGACAGAATAGTTTAGGATCTCAGAATTGCAAGATCTAACAATGAGGCCCTCCTCAAAATCTCTGTGGCAGTTTCTATAAAATCAATGTTACGCAGAAATTGTTGTTTAGCAAAAAAAAAATTATCTTGTTAACTACAAGAGACCTTTCCAGTCAGACCAGGAAGCGGTTTTCCTCTCCCACATTAGATCTAACAGACCCTGTAGCTTCCTACAATTAAAAAGATGGTAGCCATGAACAGTAGTTCGTATAGCACAGTGGGCTGGCATGCCCATACAAGATTACTTTCCTCCACTACTCCATGTATAATGAGTCCCACATTCTGACATGCATGGAGTAAAGAAATTTTCTCTGAATTCCTTAATAAATTTACAAACCTTAGTTTCAGACTCCACCATCAGTGGAATAATTTTCTCTACATCTCCTCTATCAAATTCCTCTCAGGATCTGAAGACTTCTCATCAAGCTGTCTTTTCTGGAAAAAGGACCCCAGCCTGATCAGCCTTTTTTGGTACATATAATCGGCAGTTATAGTATTATTCTAGCAATTTCTTTGCACTCTCTTTACAGTTCCCAAGTACTTTTTTAAAAATAGAATTAGTTACATGTTTCCAAGTGTAATCTAATGAAGATTCTATGCAAGTTTAACAGAATTTCTCTGTTCTTTTTCTTTTTTTTTGGAAAGAAACCTCATTACTCTTCTAGTCAACACAGTATGGAGCTGGAGGAGTACAACAGGTCAGGCAGCATCAGAGGAGCAGGAAAGTCAACATTTCGGGTCGGGACCCTTCATCAGTACAGGGGAGGGGAAAGGGAGCTGGAAAATAAATAGAAGGAGGAGGGGTGGGGCTGGGGAAAGGTAGTTGGGATGGTGATAGGTGGATGCAGGTAGGGGATGGTGGGGATTGGTCAGAGGGAAGGGTGGGGCAGATATGTGGGGAAGAAGATGGACAGGTTGTGTCAGGTCAAGGAGGCTAGAGGGGGAAGGGGTGGGGCTGGGGAAAGGTAGGTGGGATGGTGATAGGTGGCTGCAGGTAGGGGGTAGTAGGGATTGGTCAGTGGGAAGGGTGGGGCAGATATGTGGAGAAGAAGATGGACAGGTTGTGTCAGGTCAGGGAGGCAGGGATAAGAGAAAGATTTGGACATAGGATGAGGTCGGGGGTAGAGAGATTTTGAAACTGGTGAATTCTATGTTTATGCCATTGGGCTGTAGGGTCCCGAGGTGGAATATGAGGCGTTGCTCCTCCAGTTTGCGTGTGGTGTCATTGTGGCACTGGAAGAGGCCCAAGACGGACATGTCACGCAGGGAGTGGGAGGGGGAGTTATAATGGTTAGTGACCAGAAGGTGTTGTCGTTTGTCATGTACAGAGTGCACATGCTCCACAAAACAATCCTGGAGTCTCCATTTGTTCTCACTGATGTAGAGGAGGCCACATCAGGAGCAGCAGATACAGTAGACCAGTTTGGAGGATGTACAAGTGAACCCCTGTTGGATATGGATGTTTGTTTTGGGTCTTGAATGTAGGTGAGAGAGGTGGTGTAGGGGCAGGTGTAGCACTTCCTGCGGTTGCAGGGAAAGGTGACAGGGGTGATGGGTTTAGTGGGGAATGTGGAGCGGATAAGGGAGTCATGGAGTGAGTGGTCCCTATGAAAGGCAGATAGGGGTGGGGAGGGAAATATATCTTTGGTGGTGGTGATTCCGGAGAAGAATATAAAGGCAGTAGGAGTATACTTGCAAAATCAAACAGAACTCTTCTAAAAAGCGAGTTCCAGAAAATATCAGTATTTTCACCATTTGATCTGAACTGAGATCTCTCTTCGAGAGCAAAGAAGAGGGCAGCAGAGAGAGGTGCAAACTAGGTGAAGGTAGATGATAGCTGTCATAGGGCAGTTGAGGACAACATGCAGTTGACGTGTGAGGATGTCATACAACACAGCATGCCAACCCATAGCAACAGGTCCCCTGACAGAAGCGGCCAGAGGCAGCACCATACTTCCCATGGAAAATTAAGGAGGTGGAGTACTCCTTGGGAAGATTGTTCATATTGGGTAAAGAATCAGAGTAATTTGACATACAGACACATTACTCTCCGGAAGTTGCAATGCAGGTTGATGAGGCCAGTTAGAAGTAGAAAAGTATTGAGAGATAGTAAGAACTGCCGACGCTGGAGTCAGAGATAACACAGTGTGGAGCCAGAGGAACACAGCAGGCCAGGCAGCATCAGAGGAGCAGGAAAGTTGACATTTCAGATCGGGTCCCTTCTTCAGAAATGGGGGAGGGGGAAGGAGCTGGGAAATAAATAGAGAGTGGAGGGGTGGGGCTTGGGTCCCCTCCACCAACACCCTCACCTGCTTAACAGAACTTGTCCTTACCCTCAACAACCTCCTATAACTCCTCCCACTTCCTACAAACTAAGCGGGTGGCTATAGGAACATCCCCATACATATATCCACCCCAAGACAGTCTCCAACCCCAATCGCAGCTCTACACCCAACCCCAGCCTCAAGCCCTGCAGGGTCTTCACCATCCACCATCCCCCCGCACCCCCCAGACCTCCCCCTCACTAAAGACGAATAGTCAGTGCTCAGCAAAGGATTCACCTTCATTCTCCTACGCCCACACATCGATGAATTCTGTTCACGTCTGGATGTCGAACTCTTTTTCCGCTGCCTCCGTATCCACATTTATTTCATTAACCGGGAGTCTAACCCACCCTCTACATATCCCTTCTCCCACCTCAAACACACCCCCTCCTCCTGGACACCACCCCAGGCCTTCCTACCTCCCTCGACCTCTTCATCTCCAACTGCCGTTGCGACATTAATCGCCTCAAACTCTCCACCTTTCTCACTCACTCCAACCTCTCATCCACAGAACATGCAGCCCTCTGCTCCCTCTGCTCCAACCCTAACCTCACCATCAAACCCATGGATAAGGGAGGCGCAATAGTGGTATGGCACACTGACCTTTACATCACGGAGGCCAGGCGCCAACTCTCTGACACATCCTCCTACCGCCCCCTCAATTACGACCCCATCCCTAATCACCAAACCATCATCTCTCACATCATCAATAAGCTCATCACCTTGGGTGACCTCCCACCCACAGCCTCCACCCTCATCGTTCCCCAACCCCACACCACCTGTTTCTATCTCCCTCCCAAAATCCACAAACCTGACTGCCCTGGCCGACCAT